AGGAAGTGTTTGTCTGGGGAATTCAGTGTTGCCAAGAACGCGGCAATCCGACCACAGAATGAGTTGTAGATTTTATCAAGAGAAACGCATGATTGTCACGCATATGGTTTCCATAGCGAGCGGGTTGCCTATTTCTACTGGGTTTGTAAATTTTATGACCAAGCTTCGCGTGATTAAAATATACATATATACCGCACTATGGGATCAATCGCTTGATCATTTCTTACTGACCTGTACTAGGATGTTCACGACCATAATCACAGTAAGATCCCTGATGCAGTGTACTTTCATAGAAGACACATAGGAAATACAAATACCCTTTGATATTGCCTTGCAGGTAGGGGGTAAGAATTGTACCTATCGCATGTAGGAAAGGACAAAATATGGGATCTGATATTTTCTCTTTCTAATCAACTTTGGTTTTTATTTATGTCTCCCTTGGCACGGCCTTGCGTTTGGCCTTTGTACCTTGAGGTGGTCTCTGGGTTCAGTTGCCTTGCCGGGGCATACAAGAGTATTAAAAGGCAGTTAAATATGTACTTCTCATCGTTGTAGTAGTGTTAAGACTGTATCGCTCGTTGTCAGAATAATGTGAACGATTTGGAGTACTACTGGGAGTCTTTTACAGAGTTCTTCAGCGAGGTAACACTATAAATTTGACTTAGTTCATTCCCTACAACAAGGACGCTTAAATGACCATACTGCTGCCTCTCGAAAACACGTACACTCAACACATTCAACCACCCCGCATATATGAATTGGGTTGCGAGTTAAGGGAATGTGTTCCCCTTTAATGTCGATCACTGTTGATGGGATTTCAAACAATATAGAACCAAATCAAGTAGATAGCGAGAGGGAACACACGGGTCTACCATATGTTGATTACCGGTACATAAGATGTCACGAAAGTACACCTAATGTATATTGATTAGGTAAATTATAAAGCAATAGTCACTTTGTTGTACTGGTATCAGTGTATGTAGAGATGTTACGAATGTTCCTTTATTAAATTGTATATCAGTATCGCCAGATATCGCGAAGACATGTCCATCCAATAGCCATATCATCATTACAACGCATTTCACACAAGTCTCTTTATTAGTGCAAACAGAATTTACGAAAATCTCTCTGTTGTATCAACACAAAAAGTAGTGTCACGAAATAATCTATTTTACCGTTGTCGGTAAATATAGAGAAAGTCGCATGTCACTTTAGTATGCAAGTGTCTGTACAAAAGAGGTGTCACGAAATAATTTATTGTGTCGTTATCGGTAGATATAGAGAAAGTCGAAAGTCACTTTGTTCTAAAAGTGTCTGTACAAATAGAGGTGTCACGAAAGAATTGATATCATTATTCGTAAATATGTAGAAAACCAAACTGAAACCAAATAGGAAATTCTACCCCGATTGAACAGTTTTGAAATACTTGACGCAAAATTTTAATTTTGCAATACAAGTAATCAGTTATTACTTGAAACGAATATCATTGTATTTATAACTAATTACAGCAATTTTATCTATGATACTTATCTCAATTTTAAAACTAAGAAAATAAGAAAGAACTATAGAATCGATTAATGATGCCATATAGCAATAAAAATATCCTGTTATAATTTCAAACAAGAAATAAAGTATTGCTGAAGTGAAAATCTTTGACAGTGAAGTGACTAGAATTAATGAGGAAACTATTTTAGATTATGTTGATTAATGCCATTAACTGAATTTTAAGTGGTATTCCATTTTGGTAACCCCGCCTGTTGAAATACATTACTGAACCTGACATGTTTCTGTGTTCTATTTATAGGCACACGTACTACTGAAGCGTAACCAATGCATAAAAACTGAAAGAATTGTGAAATATCGAGAAAAATACAGGATTCAAAATTCCTTGGATCTCCATTGTTAATTTTCAGCAAAAATTATTCCAGTTTGTATAGCGCAAAAAAAGGGTTTTTTTGTTTCATGTCAAATGTTTTCGTCTATTTGAGGAAGTGGTGTGTAAATTTATTTGTACAGATATTTGATGAACATTAGCAAGTTACTTACATAGTTAGAATTAAACTTTATTTACAGCAACTTATATAATTTCTCTCGCTGGCCAAGGTGAGGCGCGCGGGGAGTCTTATTGTGGGAGGAAAACCAGAGACAGCCGTTCTGTGTGCTATGCATGATTTTATTCTCATCTGGTAAAAGATAACTATATATAATGGGCAAGGTTCATAAAACATAATACAGCAAATATTCACACATCTCTGTTATGTACTCTCAAATAAAAATATCAATTATTATATAGTATAGACGCATATATACCGCAACACTAAATAAGAATTATTTCATAGCAAGAAGAAAAGAATCTAGAGTTAGCGTTGAGCTGGCATTTAATTATAGAGTATAATAGCATGCATTCCAAGATGATGTCATTCCGTAATTGTCATTTCACATCTGTCGTACTCAATAACACACGCAAATGTATGTCTTTTTGTGGTCTGTGGCTTACAAGATGGTTCCTTTGTATTATTTTAGGGCAGAGAGAATACATATACGTTTCAGGTTTCATGTCAAAGCAAAAATTGATTATGTAGTCTTTATAAAATTTGAGATGAATATGTAGAATGATGTAACAAATAATTTAAAAACCCAATATTTATAAGGGAGCTTTAGGTTATTTGCAAAAAAATAAATTGTCATTATCATTTATATACATTAAAATGACTGATTAGCAACCAGCAATGAAATCAGTCCAGATCTGGAAAGGTTAAAGTTACACCGGAAATTGTGAATATTTTCCTAATAATAATTCTGTTGGATATTGCTAAATGTTAGGGAGAGCCTTTGACAAGACGTCAAGGCAAGAATATATTTGGTTACCTGAAACAAACATTCATATTTGTTTTGCCTCAGAAGTTCGTGATGGTTCCATCTGTCTTTTCTTAAGACATTGTCATTGCCTTTTTTTTTTATAATTCCTACCATGCCGTAATGTGTTCTGCATGTTTTGGACACTCAGCATTAAGTACATGTATGTATACCTGTGTGTCTGCTTATTCTCACGAAACTGACAGTTTTCCAAATCATTTCCAAAATACAAAGACTCAAACAATCATTCCCCTACACTTTATTTCTTCTCGTGGTTTTATATTGCACTTTGTATACACGAGATACAAAAGATAATACTGGAAGATTTTTATTTTGTTTTTGTTATTGCATATTTAATTATCATTTGCAACGAGTATGGATAACAAAGCTGTAGATTATAAGTATTACTGGCCGAAGTATAGGAAGCCTTTAAACCTTTATATTGATGTTTCAGAATAGAAGTCGCGATGTCCTATCCCAGTAATCAGCATATCACAATCCCTGTCTATCATGTCCTGTTTAGTTTGTCCTTGTGATACCTTACAGTCGGTCCGTACAAAAATCTTTATTAGATTGCACAAAACATCTAATTACAATTCCACGATCTTCGTTTTTGAGAACATGACATACTTTGACCTAGATTTATAGATGAATTGAAAGCAGTAGATGCTCACCCTCCTAAACAGAATGCTTAGTTACCTGTATGACTTTCAATGATCTAAAAGTAAGTCTTGTCAATGAAGCAGAAGACGCTCACACTTCCAGAATATCTGGTCTTATTCTCCTTGTACTTTTTCAAGACTCTTCGTCTAGATATTTTTTGTTGATGTTTTTGTCGTTAGGTAATGGCTATTAGCATAACAATTTGCATACACGTAAATGCTATCTCTTTTTTATGACTAACACAGAATGCCAATGATAATTAGAAACTCTTGTATATATGCTTACTATTTTAACAACTTGCCAACTCTAATACAAAATATAAACGAAAGAAATATTTACAGGGAGATCCCTGAGAAAGCATGAAGAAAATGAAACCAGGTATTCTGAAAGAGTAAGCGTCTTCTGCTTCAAAGACGACACCCGCCATTGCCGTACATTTCAATAAAAGGAAGCACTATGCGCCACGTATAAACATCCAGGTCATAATTATCCTGTCTGGGCTTTGTCATCAGAGCATAATACAGAGTATAAACACAACCACATGTATAATTTACATAATAAACAAATTGACTTAACGATTCTTGTTTATTCAAAATAGGTTGGAAATGGCCACATATCCCTAAAGAAGCAAGCATCAACATATCTTCATGCTTGTACATTGAATACGTTTTCTCCTTAGGTAAAATATGAAAAAAACAAGTATTTGCAATCTGAATTTTGCATCATGAACTGATTTTAACCACCTTATAGACACTATTAAATGTCACAGGGTAAACGTCTCGGTGACTTCCAAGAAAACCAATCCTATGTCAAATGTGCTCCCCTCTTCCTGCAAAACGTGCTTCCCAACATAGCGCACAATTTTATGCCAAATTATTAATTTCAAAGTATACATAGAAATATAGTTAAGCACACATATAAAAGATGTAAAATATTTCAGCTAAAGATTGTATATCGTTACTGTTATTTCGATATACAAGACGCCTTCTATTTATCGTTTCTTACGTTTCATAGTTACGTAACTACATTGAAAATTTATACATAGATAAGGAACCGGAAACTATTTCCGGATCGTGGTGCACTGCCTTGTCGACTTGGTACATTATAATTATCATAACAACTTGCATGTCCGCCCTAATACATGTCGTTACACACCACATGAGCCATTCTTACCACTGCGGTATTCTTAGATCAGACCTTTATATAAGAACACACCCACGCTTACAGAAATATCATTTCCGGATTCTTTGGTGTGTGTTTTCTGACGTTGCATTACTATTTTGTGTTTATAGGTTATCAAAAAGTAGGAAATATATTTCCCGCTATTAGAGCATTTAATCTGCCAGATAAAAATAGCACAGAATATATTTGAGTAAATTCCTCTCTTATTCCTCGTCTTTTATTACAAATTAACAATAATATCGACATGTGACAGATTCTCTATTTAATCTTAAAATCGATGAAACCGAGGAAGGACTTACTTGGGGACTCTTGAAAAAATTACGTTGGAAAGAAAACTGCTCCGGAATGGCAACCTTCGTCTGCTTAATCGACGACACCCGCCCTAGATATGTTGGTCATTATGAAAAAATAAAAAAAAATAAAAATAAGGTTATGCTCTCCTCGCGAGTATCGAAAGCGTCTAACTTAATTATTGATATGATAAACAACAAGAAAATATCGACTTATTGACAGAATTACAATTCACACTCGAATTTTCATCATGCAGCTGGTTTCTATTTCAAAGGCCTGTTCCAACTATAAAAAGCCGTCAATTGACAAACTCGTAACACAGGATTTCAAAGATGCATGTTGATGAAAATAATGGATAAGTTTTATGGACACCAAAGTGATCTCAAACATTCTAATTCCTTGTGCGATGTGAGGCTAAACGTGTTTGATGCTCGTTAATTTGCCTGTTGATTCCGTTTTTGCATACCATGTTCCAATTTGAGAACGTGGCATTCCTGACTTTGAAAGACTTAGATTACAAGGCGGATGTCTTCGATGAAGCAGGAGACGCTTATTCGCCCAGAACACCTGGTCTTATTGTCCTTTTGCAGGAGTCTCTGTTTTGTTTATATTTTGCCCTAGTTCTATGGAATTTAGGTTTGGATTATGTTAACATGTCGGTATTTTCTTGATGTTTTTCATTATATCATCTTTAAAAACATAAAACACGTAACTCACACAGTTACGTCATCTTACTGTATGATATCTTTAATGAAAAAAACTTAATTATTAATTAAAAAAACCTGAATTTCGAAATTAAAAAAAGTCCTATTGATGATCAAGGGAAAGATAAAAGTCATACAATTTTAGATACTATTGATTTGAAAAATAACTTTCATTTTGCAACGGTACAATGAGAAGTAAAACAAATGAGTCATCTTAAATATTGTAAAAGGAAACAGATCTGTCAAACTTTCAAATTTTGTAAAGATCGTCGATCTTGAGGTGTAATAAGGGATGTCAGAGAAAAAAGGGATTTGCTATTGTATCAGTCTTGATCGATTTTCAAAGGTTGCTCTGTCTGTTTCTGTTGGGTGAGGTTTTAACGATCAGCTTATTTATTTGAAAGGCCTCTGCGTTTCTATCTCGAACTCCAGACTTATCAGCCGTTTGGTGAACTATCCTTTAAAATGATTATATTTCTATTCTTATTATTCATTTTTTTTCAACTTTAAGTAAACATTTTATAACTTGTAGATACTGCAAGCTTTAAACGTTTTGAATTTTGGAATATTCTATTTTTATTATTCTCGAAAGCTTATAACTGTTGTATTGAAAATATGTAACTGATATAATAAATACCAAAACAATTTCCCACCTTTTATTGTTTGAAATACTGCTATTTTATATTAATCAATACTACTTTTTAATCTATTTTTTCTATATTCTTATAATTTTCACCATAGTACACTTTCAAATTTTCAAATAATTATGCACAATTTGTGCAAGATATTTGAACTTTTGCCTGTTATTTTCGTTAGGTCGTATCATTGAGCATTTCATATTATTTTAATTAATATCAGGAGTTAATATTCTGTCAATTATTATCAATCATTTCATTTATAAGAGTTAATGAATTCTTTTAATTTATTTTTTCAGATCGGATAGTTTATATCATTACACTCGTGAGTAAACAACGTGCTTGTTTTCAGCGTATTAAAGACGTAACATACTTTTCTTTTCAAAAGAGTTTTTTTCATTATCTTTAAAATATTCTGACTTTTAAATTTGTACTATCAAATTAATTTTATTATGAAACGATGAACATGTTATTTCATTATACTGATACATTTCTCTTTTTAATACAAGTTGAGCAGATAAGTGATGTTTTACATTAATTTCTGTCCTTTGTGACGTGGTATTAGCGTTCTCACTTGTTTTGCTCATTACTTTACATAAACTCATTATCGTGATGTGATAATTACTTTATTCCAGACGTTGACATTTTATTTTCTGTTGATTACTTTCAAGAATTGAACAGAATTTTTGTGTCATTTTTTGTTTCTATGTTTTAATTTTGGATTTTCTAGATGTTAATACCGATAATGCTGATCGTCTGGAGTGTTCATATTAAGTTTTTCATCGCCCTAGACAATTAATCTCATACAAAATTGCCTAATGTTAATTTTCTTTAGTTCTCCGAACTTGGAAATCCTTTTAATCGTAAATATTTTTATTTAGTCTCGCCTGATTTGAGGTAGTTTGCGGAAACTGACAAATATAACTACAGCCGGTAGTCACAAAAAAACTAGAACAAACTCCAGTAGTCTGTCGGCTATGTAAATGTTCCATTAGTAGATTGTATCACAATAAAATAAAACTACAATTATTGTATTAATTACTTTGAAGCGCATGTGTTGTTGCCTTTTTGCAATTGCACTGTATATTTACTGTCGTGTGTTTTATTTCTGCTGTGCGGCTAATTACTTTGAACTCAGAAACACCTGCTTACGTTTTAAGTGAATTATTGAATTATTAAAGGAGTTGTGTCTTGATTTTCAAAAATCCTATTCTCTATCAAGCTCTATAAAAGATGATAATATAATGGTTTACTGATGTCTGTGTGACAAATGGTTTATAATAGAACAGTAGTGACTTGGTAGTGACACACAATAGGAAAACATACAATTCTTTAAGATTTAAAACAGCAGATTTCCTCCTTTCGTAATTGATTCAATCCAATCTATTATCAGTATTAATGCTGATCATTTTCATCTTCGCCACAAAATGCTCTTGCTCTTTGACATACTACTAAAGTGGACTAATTAATATATAGCCATTCGTTTGATTTTTTGTGTTTTCTTGTTGCTTTTTTTGTCGTTTTTATTTATTTATTTATGACTTTTCTACCCGTTTCCCACAATGCTTTATAAACAAATATTTACACGAAGACCCCTGAAAATCACAAGGCAAATAATAGCAGGTATTTGGAAGAGTAAGCGTCTTCTGCTTCACACACGACGCCCACTATTGCCGTACAATTCAATCGAATGAAAATCTTTTTTGTCACACGCAGTTAATGCTGTTCATCATCAATGCACTGATATTTTTCAATGCCGTGGAAACGGTAACGTAAATATAATTGTATGCCAACTAAAAAGATCTGTTAGTAATTTGAATTCGGATGAATTCCCACTTAGTTAATAGGCCTTGCTGTCATTTTGGACACTTGGTTAAGGATTGTACTCAATTCTTCATCCATTGTACCTTTTCAATATTCAAAGACAACTCTTTTTCTCTATGTCTTTCAAATTGTATCTATACTTTTAAATATTCAAACATGTCTTGATGTTGATTTAGAGATTCATTACCGATGCTGGACGCCTCTTTTAAGTAAATTTGATTTTTAATTTAATCAATTTACAAATGTTGTCACAAGTTGGTTGTTTGTCAACGCTTTGGACCCGGAACATGATTGGGTGTGTGTATGGACAATATGTCTCCATTTAAAGGGACATTTGGACAAAATCCTGACTCAACTATACATTTTTTTATTAATTAATGATAAGAGATGGTAGTGTTTCCCTTTAGTTTTGATAAGATATAAATAGATTCCATTCTCTATTTAATATCAGTGTATAACTTACTGACCATTTGATTGATGTGTCTCTATACTTGCTTATTTTTGTAAATAGAAGGCTTTCGTAGGTTAAACCTGTTGCCCAATTCCATTTATCATTAGAATGTCGATAGCAAAATGTTTAAAATGAAACATGCTGAAGGCTGGATAGAAAAAAACAGACGAAATCATGAAATAATGATGGCTTGAATAGTGAGACAGACGCCATAATGAAGTACAAAAGGCTTCAAAGTGAAAGGGGATAAATACAAATGGCTTGATTGCGAGAAAGACTTTATGATGAAATACTAGATGTTTGATATCAAGACAGGCATTATATCGAAATAATGTGGGCCAGGTAGTGATACAGACCTATAATGAAATACAGATTACTTGATAATAAGGCAGACATTATAACGAAATAAAGAGGGTTTGATTGTCAAACAGGTAATAAAACAGGATATCGTATAGTTAGAGAAAGATATAGGAGAGTACATGGGGCTTGATAATGAAAACAATATAACGAAATACATATGGTTGATAGTGAGATAGATAATATAACGATATACAAGGGCCTTGATAGTGAAATAGAAAATATAACGACAGGGGCTTGATTGTGAGAGAGACACTGATACGAAACACAAGGGGCTAGATAATGAGATTGATAATATAACGAAGTATAGGAGATCAGAGTGCAAAAGACAATATAACGAAATACAGGGGGCTTGATAGGCAATATCCACGGGATATTCTTGGATAGATTGATATGGTTCCATAAGAAAATCACGTTTCGGTAGCATTAGTTTGATATATAGTAAGCTGTGATCCAGTATATGTTAAGTATCCTTTATCATGTGTATGTGTTTGTTCTTGCACATCAAATCTGTTACATTATTTGACCGCATACCTTCACAGGTCAAATAATGAAACGATATGAGAAATAGTTTTCATGTCTAAATATTGATCAATATTTATATTGCATTGGGCCTTAGCCAAGGAAATTAATCTTTCTGTTGTCGTCTACAATCTCGTTTCTACCTAACCACTAATTATATGTATGTTTGGTGTGAGCCGGTGTACCTGTGTTTCTGCCAAACCCATGAACCAAGCAGCTCTGGTACAGATACACTTCAGAGGTAATCTCACATTTCATTTTTTTCTCCACCGCCTACAACTGACGCAAGGTCTTAGTCAAAGACATGTAATATCAGCGCAGATAGTATCGTAGAGCTAGGCGTATCAAAGTTCTGTGGCTGATTCTCCTTGCTGTATTCTTGTTGATGGTGGAATGCTCATTGCCAACCAAACATAGCGCTCTCTTCAACTTGTCCTATTAAGAATTAATTGGTACAGTCACATTGAAGCTTAGCATATTTTATATTGCTCGTTATCTCATAGTAATTTTTAAATATGCAAAGCTATTACAGACCTTTGAGGTTTTTATCGCATGCTTAACAGTTTTTAATTACTCGTATCAGACAGAGTTGCAAACATGAAATTTCTGTATTAACAGTAAAATGCCGATAAAATCATTGATTAAAATATATAAACCCTTTACATTTAATGCTAATCTAACATTGACGGAAAGTAAACAAACAAAAAAATCAAATGAATCCGTCAGAAACGTATCTCAATTCAGCATCAAGCGTAAAAAAAGTTAGTCTGAAATATTCTCATGGCATCAATTATATTACACAATATCAATAACCACAGTTTTAGTGCGAACTTGAAACAATGTACTATGCACTAGAGTGTACACAAGTAATTACTCACACATTACAAAAACCTGATGATAAACCAAAGAATCTTCTAAAAACATTGCGCCCTCATCACATAATCGACACAATATACAGTACACATAGATTAGACGATATACCTAACACTCATCACACAATCGAAACAATATACAGTACACACTTATTACACAATGTACCACACCCTCATCACCTTATCGACACAATATACTGTACACACAAATTAGACGATATACCACACCTTCAGCACTGGAAACAGTATACACTACACAAATATTACACAATATACAATACCTTCATTTCATAATCGACAAAATATTTCAAACCTTAATCACATAATCATTAAAATATACACTACATACAAATTAATTGATATACCAAGCCCTAATCACAAAATCGTCACAATTTTACATTACAGAAAAATCACACAATATATCAGTTCTATACAATATATCTTGTTCATTGTCAATGTACCATTGAGTAAAAGTAATACGGCATAAACACAATGTGCACAATATACCACATGGTCAACACCAAGATCACACAATATACCACATGGTCAACACCAAGATCACACAATATACCACATGGCCAACACCAAGATCACACAATATACCACATGGTCAACACCAAGATCACACAATATACCACATGGTCAACACCAAGATCACACAATATACCACATGGTCAACTCCAAGATCACACAATATACCACATGTTCAACACCAAGATCACACAATATACCACATGGTCAACACCAAGATCACACAATATACCACGTGGTCAACACCAAGATCACACAATATACCACATTGTGGACACACATTTTACACAAAATATACCACACTCTTATTACGCAATCCACACAACATACACAACAAAAATGCTAAACATATTTAGCCTGCAGGTCATTTACATAATGAACCTCGTTGTCAACATAGAATCGACAAGATATCGTTACGGCATCTGTGCACACTTCTCACAATAAACCACATTTTCAACAGGCAAAGGAGAAATTATGCCACTTTTTCTACAGAAAATTTACTCAATAAACCACATTGTCAGCACAAAATTTATACAATATACTACAACGTTGATGCACAAAGTACACAATATATCATCATACCATACCCACCATATATTAGAAAATCTGAGCACAATGAATACATTATTGATACAACACATCCCAATGTTTATACAAGCGTGTCTACAACCGAGATACAGTAACATGTCTAAAGTGTCAACAATGACGAAATATTTAGCATCATCAACACACGAGAGCTAAAATATACCAGTGTCAACCCCAAAGGGCATAATAAACCACAGCGACAATACAGAGTGATGAAATATATAATACTCTGTCAGTACACGCGGGCAATATCAACCTAAGCCAAAAACAAAAATGCCAAACTATACCTCAGGGTCGTCAAACAAAATATCACATAATGTCAACATCCAGGACACATTATATTAGTGGCAACACAAAATAACAAAATAACAAAAATACCACAATGTCAGCATCCAGTACGAGATACAAGTGGCAACACAAATAACAAAAATAACAAAGTGTCAACATCCAGGACACGAGATACAAGTGGCAACAAACAGTAACAAACTATACCTCCATGTCAATACTCAAGGACACAAAATTCGAGTGGCACATATTAACAAATTAGCCACAATATCAACATTGCAGAACACAGAATACAAGTGGCAACATAGAGGAAGGACTTATCACATTGTCAATGCATTATGTTGAAAATGACAGTATGAATATTAAAACAGCACATTTCAATATATTTAGGATGACACACAAGAAGGTAACAATTAAAGACATCACAAATAAAACATATTAATGAAGAAACCATTGAAAGACAAATCATCTGTTCTTTATACAACACTCTTTTTATTCAGTAATAAATGTAGATTATCGTTTTTGTCCTGTATCTGAAATACGGCTTCCCCTTACATTTAGCTATGATGAAAAGACGATTAATGATTGACGTTGTCATCCTTCAATGATCAATGACTTCTATAAGAACTGCTTCCATTAACGACTTTTGTATATCGATATATAATAATGACTATCAAACGATTATGGAAATTATCCTTTTGTGCAGTTATTCATATTTACCGTAAATGAATATCTCTCACGATATCAAGCATTTGACGTATTAGTAAGTTGTTTGGAAGAATTTATGGTAGAGAAGTTAAAAAGAATTCCGAAAACGAGACCCGATTACAATTACTATAATATATTATACGTGATTTATATTTTTAGCTATTGTTACGCTGTATAAGCATTTGTTACCAAAATGATGAGCATTCATCGTATGTTAAACAATACCACACAAATTACATGAACATGGATCTTAAGGCACAGAAGAAATCGCGTCTCCCACTGTCACACGTGGTCACCACCGTAATATCCACAATGTGACAAATGGTTTTATACTAATTAATATCATTTGCATAATCGTTCTCCTTATATAAATATATATCTTTGTATAGTTAGTTCTTTTAATAACTATGGTTTGCAATAACAAAATATAGATGTAATATACAAGCTACGTTTTAATTAATTCGAAAAGTGGCATGGTTCTAAATATTAAAATATACCTGGCGTTCATTGGAAATTATTATATATACGGGAAATATGTTATTTATTGTAGTAAGGAGTAATAACCTCTTCGTCTAGATTTTGTAATTTCTTTGTTTTTAATTAATTCTTTTTTTTATTCGCCTCCACGGATTTAAAATTAAATTAAATTAAAATTAAGGCCCTTAGTAATACTAAAGAGAATCAGCTGTATGATGCAGTTTGATTTATCATTTGTTTATATCATATGTAAGTCTAGCTTTATATAGATAGGTGTTTTTTTGTCTGACAATATAAGTTCTGTCGTAATTGATATACCTATGTATTAACTTTTGATAGTATTTGGGACTTTTATATCGTCTATATGTGTATAAATTGTACACACCAGTTAGAACACTGTGTACATGGTAGTAGCCTTGACTACCTACATACACTAACGAAAGTCAATTGGCGCAGGTCCCCTTATATCACGTCCTAACGACGCTGTACAAAACGTGTCCATGTGCTGGTTGTTACATCCGAGTCGACAGGTTGTACAGTGAACAACATCACTTAGTAGACTGTGTTTCGTATGGCAATCGACATCTAGTATATCTAAAAGATAATACTCTTTAAATTATTAAATTACTTTTTTTGTTGTTTTGTATATCAAATGCATCAAATTGGATACAATATACCGTATAGTCGTTTAATTTAGCGGGGCTAATATTTCGCGATTGTCCTTGGCAGGGCAAATTTTAAGGTTGTAAACTTCGCGCATGTCTATACATAAACGCCCAATTCAGTGATAATAACCTTTTTCAAAAGACACACAAGTGAATAACACCTTTTGATAATTAAGATTAATTAGAGCCAAACATTGAATTTAACTGCATCACACAACTGTTTGAGTCCTTCTAGGACTCGTCAGTGATGCCGAGGACCTGAGTTGTTAAGCCTAGGAGGCGACTAAGGAAAATCCAAAGTGATCAAAAGTAAAGTCAAAATCTAGACGAGGATGTGCAGGAGAACCCTAATAAATAACTTTCGTATTGTTCATATATTAGAAAATTAAAATTTGGCAAATTAACAATTTTCTATCATTATTTGATATTGAATTACATGCTACACTTCGGCTATAGATGTAAAACTAATCCGTCATCTACTAATGTTTTTTTTTCTGAAATAGGGAAATGACCCCAGTTGATATTTGACTTCATTCGTCTCAAGAGACATCTAGATAAATTGACCATGCATGTAAATGCCGATACAATCGCTGGAGTACATTAACGGGAGTTAACATATCCGCTTGGAATTTCTTGTATCATAATGGGTGGCAAATTCCACACGTCTCAAAGACGGGAATGCAACAAAGACCAGAATGGATCCAGCCAGACATATTGAATAAAGAGACAAGAATGAAAGGCTGGTAGCCATGTTTTAGTTGTAAAATGATGTGGTTTGTTCATACACAAGTAAATATATACATAGAGACTCACTGACTTATCCTGATACTGGAATAGAGCCTGGACGTTCGACCTCCGTGGGAGTATCAAATGGTCAGCGACATTTATTTGTCGGAGATTTTCGAACGTCCACTTTATCATGGATGCGAGCTAATGCTATCTGTATCAAGTGATAGGACACTTTTACAAACGTTCACAGATTATTCTGTTACAGATGGCTGATAATGGGAAATCATATTACCTCACTGTGTTTTCGATGACATTTCCGTGGTAGGCGTGTTACTCTGCAGTCTGTTTGGACACACAGTTGGAATTAGATGATATCATCAGTTTAACTGCACGGCCTGTACTGCACGACATACTTGATAAATCGACATAACGAAATACTATGTTAGATCCTGTAAATAGTACAGTTGTATATATACAGTACTAGGAACGAACACAAGAAATACAAGGCAAAGAAGTTGGAAAAGCAGGTACACAAGGCGTAGATCAGGATTTTTTTTTTCCAGCAGAGACTATGCAATTGTTTGATGTGTGAAACTAAACAACGACATTAATGTACGGATTTTGTGCATCTGCTAAGTGTGATTCTACCGGTGTAGTATTCGTTTATTAAGTGTTTGTTAATGAGTGTTACACGGTTTGATGCTATAGTGTTTGAGATTCGACAAAAATGTCGACATTAGTCATACTAGATTAACATACAAACATACTGTCTAGGCGGACACACTAATCATATACACACACAAGTGATACGAATGCAAATATTGTCAAAAGGGTTTTCGTTAACAACCTGATTACCTAACAATAACGACCAAAAAATGTGTTTGTAATAATGAGCAGTTCTGCTCATGTATCGACTGCCCTTCCGTGATCTTACGGTTTTGATCACGTGATATTCGTCATCAGTCTTGGACATTTCTGGCTGTTATGTTACTGTATCTTATAGATAATTATTATATAATTGATATATAATAATACTATTTACGTACAGGAATACTCCAATAAGATATGACTTTATAAACTATTGTTGGATTGACGTTTGCCATGTCATTGGCGCCGAAATAGAAAGCTGACATAGTCCCGATTCACAAAATCATGGATGATTCAAGGAGATATTTCTACTAAGTACAGTGTTTGGTAAAACGTGGATCCGTGATACTGGATACGACCTATGTTTTAACGGTCGATGGATGTATTGATATTTTATGAAACTGAATGTCATTTGTGGACTTAGAACGAGGTTTATTCAGAACACTTAATGTCATAGAACTGAAACCAACAGGTTTGAGTTATATGGAATGTGATATAGCGTTGTGAATGTATGGAGAGTTTCGTACTAATATGATGGAAGCTGATTGGTCGATGACACTTATGAATGGAATTTAATACAGGATTTAATGAATGAGACAGAATGAAAACTTAATAGTTTTGTAAATAACACCGATTTCTGATTTTATTGAAATTATCTAACGAAAAGGAAAGTAAGCAGGAAAAAAACGAATAGACGCGTGCAATATCATAAGGCATGATCTTTTTAATAGAGATACACGTGAATATATTAGGGAACACATACCTTTTAAAAGATTTGAATATTTAAAAAAAAAATTTAGAAATCGAATTGAATGTGGCTAGGACGTCTAATGGATAATTGTACAGGAGTCTCCCAGGAAATCAACATTCACAGATGATACATTTGGCTAGTGTTTCCCGGATTTTAAAAGTGCACTTCCTTAACATGAAATAATAGCCGGTATCTGTTTGAGGACATATTAATTAAAAAATGGCTTGTTAAATTCAATTACAGGATTTATCGAACTCCCTCGCCATTAAAGTGACACATGAAAAGATAGGTTGTGATCAAATTTTGAATGTTGCGTTCAAAGGAAAATTATGGATTTGCTGAGAACTGCAATTGTATTAGAATAAAGACTGCTTGATTTCACATGTTTTGCCTTGGATTCCATTCATAACGAATGCAAAAATTGATTTGTGTTTTTGGTGAAAGCGTGAACTAAGAAGTTTTGGTCTAAGTATTTAGTCTGTCAACAAAATATTTTAACCCGATTGGACTTCAAAGGATGTATGGATAATATACTTCCTTAAAGAATATATGTATATACCATATCCGGCTGTTATTTCTGGCTTTGAATCAAGCATTTGTCAGAACACAAACTAGTATTTATCCCCTTGGTAGACTGGAAACCTAGAGGAGGTGAACGCTTCGTGTCATGGATGGTCTGTACAAACTGTACATTTTAAAAAAGTGTTCCATAAGATATTCACTATAAACGACGTCAGACATCTCCCTACAACTTTAAGGAAATATTGACTTCTGGGTTTGAAACAATATAAAAACCGTCAAATGTGGTATTTACCTGACATTTGAAACCTTCAAACCATGTATGGAATGGAAAATCTAACAAACTTTTCCAATGGAATGTCTCTTGAAGCTCCTCCATCCTGTAGTGCAGCCGTGTTCAGAAAATCAACACAACGTAAAAGAACCTTACAACGTGTGGACACTATGGCCCACCTACGGCCGTTTCCACAGGTAAATTTATTTCAAGACAAGATGTCGTAAACCCTTAAGGTATGTTTTGATTCTCTTATCATATATAAATATAATCTGTTTTATCATGGAGCCTTTGCGCCGTGTTTATCCAGATGCCAGAGATACGAATGATTTCGTATTGTTCTAAAGCATGGTATTGGTGGATAGACTCCTGTCTGTTCCTACTAGCCATTACACTGATTCTACACATTATAAAAGAACCAATATTGAACATGATTATCGTAAATTATTTTTCAATGCTAACTTTGGCAGCTAAACGTTTTTCTAATGTAATGACGTGTTTATTTGTAGTTGATCCTAAGTAAGTCTTTATTTATTGTTTTAAAGGTTAGTTTTATATATATACATATATCATACGTACAAAGATTGGCTTTCAAATATGTGGTTAGTTACATATTTAGACCAATGGCCATCGCAAATCAAAATTCTCAAGTCAATGGAACATAGCCATTTTTTGTCGTTTCCACTGATGGTGATGGTTACTCTGGACAACTGATAATATCGATATGTAGTCTTTGAGCGTTGGCGGGGGATGCTATTGGAAAACACTTTGGAAACCATACAGCCCTTTTCTGTCGGAGCCATGGACCGGCGTTGTATGTCATACGGCATGTTATGCATGGATGTTACAAAGCTTTACTTAATGGGTTTCGTGGATTGCAAAGGAAAAAATATTAACAAGGCCCACAAACTGGATAACAATTACTGATGTGTTAAATATAAAACAGATCCAAAGAGGCTACTCAGAGGGTTTAGAGTCATCATTCTGATTGTATTGGAAAATGTTCTGCTTTTATCTTAAATATGAAGTTGTCTATGCTCCATGCCCATTAGTAAACTTGTTTGCGATGTTATTGCCCTGACTCTCATTTGGTGAACGTGAACTTTCTTAGAATTAGCTTTATTTATATGCTGGATGATGTAGATGAAGTCGAGAACGGCTTTCTCTCTAGAACTATTCCTTGTGATTTTTAATTTCCCGGCTATATAGATTTGGAGGTAATATTACGACTGCATATCATTACTGAAAATGAGGTATTTACATACCGCACACTGTAGTATTTCATTAACAACACATGATTGTGCACTTCACTGGTCATAGATAAAAGGCTTCTGATGTGAAACAGTGGATACTTTAACGGTCTAGTAATAAACCTATCTTAATTGATATATAGAACAATTGACAATTTGTGAAATCCATCGTATGGAGACTTTTTGGTCTTGACAATGACCGCAGAGAAAAATATTCTATATCCCTGTGTGATGTATGGTATGAAGTCAGACTATTCATTACCTGTTGGCATGGCTTGCGGTTTCGTTGTTTCTAACCATTTTTTCTCGTTGGGGAATATGACATTACAAACTATGTAGTTACTTGTTTTACCATTTTACCGTTATTTACATGGTGGGTGTCGCCGATAAAGAAGATGATTACCCTTCCGGATTTCCTGGTCTTATTGTCCTTGCAACATACCGTGGTAATCTTTTTTATCTTGGTTTGCACCCATTGCATTTGAATCTTATTAAGATTCTGATGACATGTCGGAATTTCCCATAATATTTTTCTGGGTTTTTTTTTTTATTCATTTTTGGTTTTTGTAATGTGTAAAGGGTATCATATCTATTATATTTTATTTTTTTGTTAAATTATGATTTATATTTATATTGTATACATATACTCTAGATTTATCGAACTGATCACCATTGAATATTTTGTGACAATAATTCGGTTTCCAGGTATCATCACAAACCTCCGGATTCCACAGAAGCTATTTCTGACTCATTGATACAAAAATATCAACAGGGATTCACGGACATTATAACCATTTTGTATATATGGATATTGTTTTAATAAGATAAGGTCTTTAGAATGATTTTTTCTCATGAATATGCAGCGATATCGACTCTTCACATGAATATAAACTTCAATTCTTCCATTGTTCATATAGTTTATTTCACAAATTAAAATTATTTGTATACAAACAAGAGAGGTAAATATAATTAAAATGTACACGTTTAGCACCTATAACCCAGAACCCTCACCAGGGAATGTCAGTATATCCTACGGCATAAAACGAAAATATGGATGTCGCCATGATTAACTGTACCGACACCCCTGACAATCTTGATCATGTAGATGTTTGCATGCTTGGGAAGCTTAGGAATATCGATAGACAGAGTTCATTAGACAATGTGCCATAAATACATTTACGTGACATATTTTAGATAGACCTTTCAGACAGAGTGTTTTTCAGTAAATACCACTACCCATATGGCTATTATGACGCCAGAGGTGCCATAGAAATGGCGACAGTACACTGTGGAATTGGTGTTTTATCTTAAAGGTTGCATAATCTATGAATAAAGTTCAAATCTACTTACAATGCCTGTAATACTAATTGATAGATATAAACATTACTGCAATACTACCTGGTTATACCCTTGATAATAATTATAAGTAACAAATATATAAGCTTACAAAATACCGGCGCCGGTGTGTTATAATTACTGCTGGAGTTTTGTCATTAATACGGTTATTAATGCCATATCAAGACGGTGATACTAACGATACAGTTTTTATAAAAAAAAATAGTCTAAAAATATATTGCAAGCTGTAAAGCTTATAGCGAGTCTAAAAAATCTTGTTATGTTTATTAGTGTTTGTATTGGACTTTTACCTAAATAATGATGATGTTATTTAGGATAATTGTATTTAACAGGGAGTAAAACTTCAAGAATCTCTCCAGCTAGAAGCTGCTCAGAGTATTACAGGAGTAAGAGGATGAATGTCTCATTACAAATCATATAAGTAACTTGGTTGGGATAGGCATGCTACTAGACGATAGAAAAACGGATAAACTTCTTTGTAAAATTGTAACAGGAAACTTTCCTTACCTCACATACCAAGTCTAAGCACATCTGAACCAAAAGGATTCCAGACATCAACTACGAAATGAAAGAGTTTTACTGTTCTGTTTTGTAGAACTGCTAGTTACGCTAGAAGGTTAGACTTTACGACTTGAATCTTCTTGCAGCAATTGTTGATTTCAACAGTACGACTTTAGTGTATAGATTTTAAATGCCTTATTAGATAGCTGAGAGTTATTGTGCCTGATTCTTCTGTTAACTCCGTTATGTAAATATACACATGCCTGCGGAAGACAATATGATATTTTACAACGATAACTACCACATTCATCTACAATTATACAGCGATAACTTAATCACCAAATTGTTCCTAGGGATTATCAAACGCAATACATGATATCACAGAATCACTTCATTTGAGTTTGTAAAATTTGTAATTATGTTCTGCTCTAGCCAACATAAGCAGATAATATATCTGGTTTTGTCTCTTATGATTTTTTGTTTGTAATTATCCAACAATTGTACCTATTTGTCTCTTCATATTATGTACCTACTCATAGATTCTAAAATTACGCAGTTGATAACATTCATATACTATATAGAGCTTGTGATATTTGGTATATCAATTTGCCATCCTGTTCTACTGGACTCACATTCTCTGCACTCGAATAAGTAAAAATATTGACATTTCTTTCTGTGATTAACATTCTAAATTGTCATAATATTTAGTCACCTTGAACTGGCAAATTAAATCCTGTATCCTATTAGAGTTATCTGAACCTCACGGATGGATGATCAGTGACTCTATGGCTGTAATTGATTCTTTCTTGTCTGTTTTCTGTGAGAGAAGCATGACTTTCTTTGTTACATTATTTTAGAATTTTGTTCTCAAAATTAAGTAACATTCGTAAAGTATCCGATATGAACCATGTGTAGTACACATCATATAATATTGTGATGCATGGTTTTCTTATATAAATATTTATTTTGCTGTTACCCAGGTAAGAACTGATACAGAATTCGTCTGTTTGATCCTTTTCTCTGGAATAAAATAAAACAAAATGAAATACAGCCTATATATACACGAAATGATATCTTAAAATTATCATTACCTTTACTAATAACAAAGTATTCTAGCATAAATGTCAGCATTTTTATCATTTATATTGAACAAACGACAGAAAATGTGGAAAGCAAATTTGTTCGTTAATGTTTATACGAGGAAACTGGGTGAACATTCATCCTTTTATCGATAGGTCTAAAATGTAACGGTATTTTGATGTTAAAGCTAAAAGATGTACTATCATGGTTTAATAGGGAATTTTATACAAAGACAAATGTTTTGATAAAAGCTTGAACGAATGATTCCCTATATACAGTATATATGTAGTAGACATCCGAAAGCTAGTGACCATTCAACAAGTCAGCTGTTCGTGTAACTTCATCTCTATTGGAATTTTCATACAGCTATCTACCAAACGGACATTTTTAAACTGCGGATTCAGACATTATTCTAAACGTAAGCTACGAGAACTGTTCATTAAGTTTTAAAATTTAATATTACACTGTACAAGGAATGTGAATTAAAAAGTATTAATGGGTTTGTTGAAAAATTACTCTACAGAATAGCGAAATGAGTAGTATAATGAAAAGGATTCTCTTTTAAAGTGCATAAAATGCATTTGGTCCATCAGAATAAAACCACAACAAAAACAAGGAACAAGCGTAATGCACAGCACGTAATACTGTAGAAAACAATAAATAAAATATGTCAATAAAATATAAATATTTAGAGTTAGACCTAATGAAACGAGGAACCATATGAACAAGAGAAGAAGGCCAAGTGTTCCGGAAAGATAACCATAAAAAAAGAAGCTAGGAAATTTGGCAAGTCGGATGAAACAAACAACAAAATTTCATCCCAAACATTCAATACATATCGATTCACATATGATTTTTTTTTCAAAATGAAAAGAGTTAATTAATTCCCCCTTACAAAGGTTTGGTAGGTTTGACAAGAATGAAATGTTTAATAATATGCTTATCTGACAAAACAGTGTTTCGAAAACAATGCTATTTGTCATGATACATTTTTTTATTCCATTTTCCCT